TAAACAACTTACATATGAATATGTAAGATGAATATGAAGATGAATATATACCTGATTGTCAGTATTCATTACATTCTATTGTAAGATGTGTTACTTTTGCCATGTAAACCTTTCCATTACTGAACTGGAATGTGAACAGATACCAGATTTTCAGTATTTATTATATTTCTTTAAGATATTTTATTATTTCTGCCATATTGTTCTGCCCAGTACTGAATTGGTGAAGATGAATATATAAGATTTTCTTATATCATTAAATGCAGTCTTAATCTTGTTGATGGGTGTCATTCCATCATTCTAATGAAAATAATAAATGGAACATGAGTATTGTTCCTTACAATATAAGATTTATAATGCTTAAATGTAACCGGAAAACTGTGTTCTTTGTGGCTTTCAAGTGTAAGTTATGAGGAAATTATGAGGCATAATATATGTATCTCTGATTGAAACAGAATTTTCTTTCAAGTTTCTCCACCTTCAGCTTTTCTAATACAAGTATCCATGTATGTTACAGTTCACGATGTTCAGTGCTTTTGGTTAAAGAGGTGTTTCATGTGAAACAAAGGTTNGTCTTCCCAGTAATCTCTTTCCTTCTGGCGTTCCCACTAATATCTTATATGCAGTCCTCGCCTCCCCATTCATGCTACATGCCCTGCCAACCTCATCCTCCTCGACTAGTGATATGGAACACAGTTCAAAAATGGAAATAGTTTGGTGGGGAAATGAATAATTTAACTGTGTTCAATATCACTAGTAGAGGAGGATGAGGTTGGCAGGGCATGTAGCACGAATGAGGAGGCGAGGAATGCATATAGGTTATTAGTGGGAATGCCAGAAGGAAAGAGAGACTGCAGTACAAGAGATCTAAAAGTATTTATTGCTAGTAGCGAAAAAAGCATTTTGAGGGGGGTGATGGGGGAGCACTCAAAATAGTTGTTAAGGTAGCATGCCTTCTTACCGATTGTGCTCTCGGCCCTGGAGGTCATTTTTAATTTAGTCATGTAAGCTGAACATAGATGGCAGCGTTTCACCGAGGTGTCATGGCAGCCATATTGCCAACCAATAACATGGGAGTTTCACGGGGCTGACCACGAGTGACCACCATCCCCACAAGTAGAACAAACTCTTGCATCGTCGTTAACGAAGAGTACGTTATTAGTGGAATTGTGTAAGTTGTGGGTGTTCTTTAGGGAATGATTAGGATCATTCGAGAGAAATTCAGTTTCCTCATAATTTGACAAATTATGGTGTTCGTGATATTCCGCTGTTGCAAGTTCTAGTTGGAATTTTGATAAACTTCGCAACGCCCGCTCTCAGGGTGATGTTTCTAGTAGAATGCACATTTTTAGTGTTTTATGCCCTTTCTCACCTGTTAAACATACCAATCCGACTTAAGGAAGTCGTGAGAGCTGATGGTCTATATTGAATTGCTTGAAGTTGCAGGTCTGCAATGTAAATTTGTATAGTATGTTGCTGTTTCTAGGACTTCTAGGACGTAAGTCCTGCAGTCTGGTAGCCAGTTACCGACGTTTTGGAAGCAAGAGGTTCACTGAAAATGGGCGAACTAGCTGCCTTCAAAACTGAGCAGCAATCTGTTAAGACTACAAAACTTGTAATAAGACACTAAGCTTCATAATCTCTGCCAGCCTCTACTGTGAGAAGAAAGACGTCCATGTTCGTGTGCGTTTGTTCACAATAATTAGTATGTTTCCTTACAGACATGGGCAAATATTCAGAGCTACGTACAGCTACACTTGTTAGATATATAATGCCATATCACTAGGATTCTTGTAAATCGATTCATTTGCCACCCAGAAATAAAATAAAGTTCCAAGGTTATAAAAGATTCCGCATTCTCTTGCAACAGGAATGCCGAGAATTCTGCTAGAGAGAGCTGAAGAAACATTTCCTGCTGTGACAGAAAGGATGGTGAGTGTTTTGTGCTTGTGTGCACAGACAAGAATTTTATCAACATCAGTCAATTCTCATATCTTAAGAAACTAAACTTTTTAGTGTTAGTTTTCATAATCCATCTGGGGAGTTTACATGGCTCTCATATTGTAGCCCTTTGCATTATTATGTGGGAGAGGGATCAATTCAAGGAGAGTGGTATGGTTATGTATATAAGTAAGTAAGGGGTGGGCCATAGAAACCGGCCCCCGCACTGTGACCTTCAATGATTATTGTGCTTCCCCTTGGATTAGCCCTTTATTAATCCTACGCTTTTAATAAAGTGTAGGACCCTGCTTATGGTGGCGTCATAAAAGTCACTTCGTTCCATAAACTGACCCAAGTGACAAAATCTTAAATGAGCTATGGCCTCAGAATCACACAGGATGTGTGCAGCTGATTCATTATCTTGTAGGCGCCTTTCAGAAGTTGGCCTGTCTGTCAGTCCCAACTTGAAAAGGTGTCCTTTCAGGTGGCAGTGTCTGGTAAGTGATCCTACCACCCATTTTAGTTGATCTCTGTTCAATCTCAACAGATCCTTTGTTCTTCTGGCAGAGGGTCCTGCTATAAAACCCATTGCCTGTCAGAGTCCAATTATGGATTCCCATTATTTTTTTTTGGTTTCTCTCAGTCCAGTCCATGACCGCCTTTTTTTGGCAACTCCAATTGAGCTGCTGCAAGTTGGTTCAGGTCCTATGAATGGCTGTTCAGATCGTGATATGGGTAGGTCATGTAGCATGCATGTGAGAATGAGAAATGACAGAAGACCTGAAAGAATGAGACCACTTGGGAGACAATTGTGAAGATTGATTTTGTTAAAGGTACAGTTATGGGGGTTTTGGACTGGGTTTGTGTCTGGATGAAAAGTCATGATGGGCATGTGTGAACACAGTAATGAGTGCTTAGGTTCCATAAAGAGCAGATACGTATTGTCTGTACTTCCACAGGGACCATAGGTTTCACAGGAAGGTCCCTGCTTTATGAACTTAACAATTCCTATGATTATGAAGTCTGTAGAGAAGAAATCTATACAGATCAGCTGTTACGGGTTATATGTAATGAGAAACAGCTACAGCAAGGAGAGCATATATTGTTTCATGTGTGGTGTTGTACAGCCATTACTGGAAGATGTGATGTGTTTACAGAACTGTACAAATTCAGAGATGGTTATATTTGGGGCATATGGTGAGATATATCCAGCAAGTCATGATGCAAACCCTACCATGAATATAAAAGCTGAGGAAGTCTCAGACTCGCAAGAGGAAGCGGACCCTGTGGAAATAACAATTCAGGAAATAAAGGCTGAACCTGAGGTGAGCTGTATGCTTCTGTATGTCCACTGTTAGGCAGATATCACAGATAGGAATTTCAGTTGTCTATCTCATCTCCATCTGTCTGGCTGTCTGTCTGCACTTAGAACAACTCCACTGTGCTGCTCGCCTTTGAAGGCCTTTTTCTGAAGTGTCTCTAGACAGTTACAGTTTGTTGAATGTATGCTGCTTGTGATGTACCACTTCTGTTTCCTTTTAAGCAGTTCTGATGTAGATGAAATTAAATCTTGTGTAAATTGAACAGTGTTTGAGAGAAATTCTATAGCAACAAAAATCCATAGGGAGTCACAGAACTGTTCATAGCTAGTTAACACACGTTAGAACCAAGAATTCAAATTACTAGAACTCTTGTGAGCTAATTCCAAAGAAACCCACAAGATATTTTTCATGTGATGAAGGTTACAAAAGATTTTGAATTCTCTTCCAACAAGAGTGGCAATAATTGTACTGAATGGAGCTGAAGGAACATTTCTTGCTGTAAGAGAAAGTATTGTGTTTCATGCTTGTGTGCACAGACAAGAGTTCTGTTTCCATATGTCAGTTCTCTTCTTCAAAGAAGCTAAATATTTTGTGACACGCGCTTCTGTTTGTTTGCATAATCCGTGTGGGGAGTTCCTTATACTTGGGTGATAATGGTTGTGATGTTATGTAGGAGAGCAAACAGTTCAAGGAGGGTGATGTGGGTAAGTCATGTAGTGGACATTCAGCAGTGAGAAATGCATACAAAGAGAAGAAAACGACATAGTCGACCTGAGTGCGAATTGGAGGTTGCTATTAAGATAGATTTTAAAGCAATAATTTGGAAGGGTTTGTACTGAGTCTGTATGCCACAGAATATGGAGCCATGTTGAACACAGCAATGAGCCCTTTCTGGCTTTCTCAACAAATCCCATATGAATTGCTCTTCTTCCCAATACCTGCTATATGAGCTGCCCATCTCATCCTCCTTTACTTTAGCTTTTACGTACAATAAATAACTCCATGGAGCTGAGTGAGTCCTTGAGAAGCCACCATTTGCTTGGCCACCTAAGAATTTCCCAACATTGTATAGAAGCTGGAAGTATATTGACGTTCGCAAAAACCCGTCACAAGTCCCTATCTTGAGCCATATGAATCCAGTCCACATCACCCCATCCTATGTCTCTTAAAGATCCACTAAAATGTCTTCCCACCTATGCCTAGGCCTTCCTAGTGGTCTCTTTCCTTCTGGCTTTCTCACCAAATTATATATGCATTCCATTTCTCCCCCATGCCTGCTATATAAGGTGCCCATCTCATCCTGCTTGACTTGATGATATAATTATGCTTTGTGAACGAAGGTTACAAGTTGTGGAGCTCTTCATTATGATGTTCTTAGGCACCAAAAAAGCAGATATTTTCTGTATTGCTGCAGTGACCTATAGTTCCTTGGGAAGGTCACTGAGCTATGAACCGAGTACTTTCTAGTGCTCATGATAGCTGTAGAGAAGAACATCTGTACAAAACAACTCTCATGGGTTAGATATGATGAGAAACAGCCATAGCAAGGAAAGCATATGCTGTTTAATGTGTGTTGTGCATCCATTTCTGATAAGGATGTGATGGTTTTTACAGAACCGTACTAATTTGGAGAACGCTTTAGTGGGTCCATACAGCCAGACATACCCAACACCTCATGATGCAAATCAGGCCATGAATGTAAAATCTGAGGCAGTCTCAGATGCAGAAGAGGAAGAGGATCCTGTCCTAATAACATTTCCAGAAATAAAGGCTGAACCTGAGGTGAGCTGTATGTGCATTCTTAGGCAGATAACACAAATGTGCAGAAATGCCGCTTGTCCTTCTGATATCCATCTCTGTGAACATGAAACATCTCCACTGTGCTGTTGACTACACTTTGAAGTTTTTTTTTTTCCTGAAATGTTTCTGGCAACTGTACTACATTGAATGTTGTGTTCATTGTACCACTCCGCTAAGCAGTGCTTTGTTACTATATCATAAGAGTTCCCAGGATCTATAAATGCTGAAGTTTATCATTTATATTTTTTCTGTCTCCCATGCAGTCTGTATCCATGTAATAACATAGAGGTGTCTTTGTGTTGAGGATTTGTTACAGGATAACTAATGATTCTCTATAGCTTTGTGATAATGTTTGACAGATTATAGACATGTGTTGCCTGTTGCCCTTTGTATGAAGTAAATTTAATATACCTGACACTGTTGGAGTTGCCTCTGTACCTGCTGTCAGGTGATTGGTTGTCATGACAGATTTTTTTTGTTGTTTTCGGTTAGACAGAAAGGTGACTTAGTGTTAGATACAGAGATTGTGTAAGAGGTGTAGAAAGCAATAGTGAAGAACTGGCATTGGCAACACATCCTGAAATATAGACAGAATTGTGGTTAATTGGAATCTACAATAGATGTAATTAAAAACACAAAGAAAGCTAGTAATGAACATCAAAGAAAATTTCTACATCTACATATAGACGGAGGTTCTTGCTTTTCTCGGCTGGTTCACAGTGACTGATGCACTACTGGCTGCAAGGTGCATACAGATTTTGCCAGTGTATCAGTATGCCTGTGGCCACTAACATTTGGAATGAAGCATACAGTTCACAGGTCACAGAAGTTGTTGAAAATGCTGTCCCCCTACATCTAGACATTCCTTGCACCAGCAGAAGGGGTTCTGATTAACCCTTAAAGCTGTTTTGCCAGAATTGTTGCAATTTCCCTATGAATATTCTTTTTAGTTCTTCCAGGTGGTGTTTACTGTTTCAAACTTCTTCGTGCAAAGAACCACTGAAGAAAATATCTAAGAATTAAGGTCAGGTGAATGTGCCTGCCAAATACCAGTGCTGATATTTCTGTCCCCAAAAGTATCGGGCAAAGGTTGCATAGACATACGTAAAATGTGGGCAGTAGCTTAGGCTTGCTGAAACCAGCCATAGAGTCTTTTTTCTTTTGTAACTCTCGAAAGAATTGTCTGAGAATGACCTGTACATAAATTTTTTTTACTTGGTGGGGTGGGACTAATTTCCTTCTATGGTGGCCAGTTCTGGCCTATTGTACCAGCCCCAGATGATAGTTGAAGGTGATTGTGGAGTAGTTGGTGGAAAGAAGATTGGCAGGGGAAGCCAAAGTACTCGGAGAAGACCTGCCCCAGCTCCACTTTGTCCACCACAAATCCCACTTGACCAGGCCCGGGATCAAACCCGGGCTGCCGCTGTGAGAAGCCAGTGGCTAACTGCTTCAGCTATGGCGTGGCCTTTGAACTGTACATATCTTTCACAATTAATTGTTCCTGTAAAGAGGCAAGTAGAGCAATCCTTGTTGCCCTTACAGCAAGCCAGACTCCAACTTTCACTGGTTGGAGCCATATTTCATGGGTTAGATGTGGATTTAGTGAAATCCAGTAGCAATTATTTTTTGTATTTATGTATCCCTGCAAGTGAACCTATGCCTCATCAGAAAAGAATGTCAGTTCGAGATGAATCTCATCTTTAATGGTCCACTGTAGAAAAAACTGCAAAAATGAACCCGGATCGCACAGCTGCAAGGCATGCAATATTACTAGGGCCCAGATTTTTATGACCTAAAAACCGTAAATATGTGCATGCTCTTATGCCCCAAAATTACATCAAATATGACATAAAAAGTGTAAAAGTGACCTTAAATATTAAATGGGAAATAGAATTTCACAATTTTAATTATAACTTTTACTAGAGTTTAAGAATAAAAATGATGTATATATGATAGTAGGCCCTACATACCAAATTAGCCCTATTTTGTTTCTGAAGAAAAGGAAACTGATGGAATTGCGACATTTTATACTGAATTAAAACATTTCTTGTTTTGCTTATAATGATTTTTGCGTTCATATTTTAGACAAACACTGGCGCACATGATTTAAACGTTAATTTAACTCTGTTAGCTAAAAACACAACATAGAAGAACACAAGCTTATTCGGCTCTCAGTTTTCAATATTTCTATAACCCAAGTTATTCACTTCTCAGTTTTCACTGTTACAATTGCAATTTATAAATACATGCATTTTCATATTTTGAAATTTGAAAGATCGCCGATTGTCACTAAGGATAGTTTTGTATTTGGACAAACTTTGTTCCACATCACATGATGTGACAGGAGCATAATTGAAGAATGTCAGGTCGTTTGGTGACAGTTCTGGATCATCTTCGAATGTTTCTGGTTTACCGGAAAGTATATCTGCAATCTTGCTTATTGTTGAATAACCAGCATTCCGATGAAGAACCCTTTCTATTTTGGTTTTAATCTTGTTGCTTACTTCACCACGAGATCAGCTTAGTTCATTCTGAATGCATTTTACGGTGTCCAACGCATCACGGAGTTCAGTCCCTACAGCTTCCAGATGAGTTATTGCACTTCAAATTGTACAGAAGTTCGACTTTATGTATGTCAGATTTTTTGCTAGTCCGGTAGAGAAGTCCTTGACAGCTTTAATTGATCTTGACTCCCAGCTGTGAAAGTCATTAACCAATGGTTGTGTAATTTTCACAATAATATGCCACAGCGTCTAACCATGTACCCCACCATGTAATGATAGGCTGTGGAGGAAGTGGCAGTGGAGGAGCTTCTTTTTTAAATTTCAGTACTTGAAGAGGGGCCTTGATGAATATTTTCTTTCCGTCTGGAATTAGCCTATCTACGTCTGGAAAATTTCTTAGAACTTCTTCAGCCACTCTATGCAATGCACGAGTGAGGCAAGTAATATGGATCATTTTTGGGTAAAGGATTTGAAGTCCTTTGGCAGCCTTCCTCATGTATGGAGCAGCATCTGTTACTAGGAGAAGGATACTATTTCGCTGTATTCCATCTGGCCACATGGCATTATGAAATAGGACAGCTGTAGTCGAATGCTTTGCACTTTCAAGATCTTCACAATCAAAAAGAAATATCTCTCCCAGTTTATTTTGTTTCATGGTTCTAACTATAATTCGCGATATACCGCCCATCTACGTCAGAAGTCTCATCCAAGGAAACCCATAACTTGTCAGCAGCAGATGTTCGAATCTTATTTAACATATCTTCATAACATGTAGAGGGATAATTTTTCTTAACGTTATTCACTTGGGATAGGATGACAAGTGTATGTCTCCAGAAATGTTCTGAAGTGCTGATTATGTAATTTCTCTATTGAAATATTTGAAGAAACCATCCATTGACACAGATCTTTCGAAAATTCTGACCCATTGTTCGTTGAAGTAGAAGAAGAAGAAGAATTAGCAGAATTGTTTTTAACCTTTAAACTACTAATGACCCCATATGGGGTCGCAAAAATAAAGTCACCGGTACGAATGACCCCATATGGGGTCGCACAGTCCGCGCGTGCACACGTTGCTTTAAAATCTAATTTTAAGATAGAAATTCTTTTCCTATTTTGAATTGTTTCATTTTTGGTCCGTTACACTATCAATCACAAAGTCAATAGAAAGTCCGTCGAGTGTAACAATGTTTTTAGGTCACTTCTTTATCACATTTGCCTTGCATGTTTCGGTTTAATAAAACCATCATCAGAGGCACATATTACAAACACATGAAAACACTGGCGTTGTTTAATGTACACAGTATATATGCTGCGTGGATGCTGCTACAAATGTCGATGTGTAAAAGCACAACACTTTCTAGGAATATTGAATGCACGTTCAACTCTCGCATTCCATCTGAAATTGCCCTCAAATTAAACCGTCAATGTTAAAATATTTAAAAGTTTAAAACATTTGAAGTAAAATGTTAGGCTCCTCCTTGTTAATTCATCCCGATGATGGGAGATGTCAGCTTGAGGTTGTATAGGCTTATGGTCAGATAGCATAGGAAACATCTGACCATAAGCCTATACAACCTCAAGCTGACATCTCCCATCATCGGGATGAATTAACAAGGAGGAGCCTAACATTTTACTTCAAATGTTTTAAACTTTTAAATATTTTAACATTGACGGTTTAATTTGAGGGCAATTTCAGATGGAATGCGAGAGTTGAACGTGCATTCAATATTCCTAGAAAGTGTTGTGCTTTTACACATCGACATTTGTAGCAGCATCCACGCAGCATATATACTGTGTACATTAAACAACGCCAGTGTTTTCATGTGTTTGTAATATGTGCCTCTGATGATGGTTTTATTAAACCGAAACATGCAAGGCAAATGTGATAAAGAAGTGACCTAAAAACATTGTTACACTCGACGGACTTTCTATTGACTTTGTGATTGATAGTGTAACGGACCAAAAATGAAACAATTCAAAATAGGAAAAGAATTTCTATCTTAAAATTAGATTTTAAAGCAACGTGTGCACGCGCGGACTGTGCGACCCCATATGGGGTCATTCGTACCGGTGACTTTATTTTTGCGACCCCATATGGGGTCATTAGTAGTTTAAAGGTTAAAAACAATTCTGCTAATTCTTCTTCTTCTTCTACTTCAACGAACAATGGGTCAGAATTTTCGAAAGATCTGTGTCAATGGATGGTTTCTTCAAATATTTCAATAGAGAAATTACATAATCAGCACTTCAGAACATTTCTGGAGACATACACTTGTCATCCTATCCCAAGTGAATAACGTTAAGAAAAATTATCCCTCTACATGTTATGAAGATATGTTAAATAAGATTCGAACATCTGCTGCTGACAAGTTATGGGTTTCCTTGGATGAGACTTCTGACGTAGATGGGCGGTATATCGCGAATTATAGTTAGAACCATGAAACAAAATAAACTGGGAGAGATATTTCTTTTTGATTG